GGATGGGCTCGACGTCCTACTGGCCCAGAAGGCTCCCTCCAGGTGAGTCTGATCCACGTGGCCTGGTAGGGTCCTAGAGGTCCTTGAAGAGACAGCCGGTGTCCTAAGTGACTAGCCAAGGGAGGGGCCAGAAGCTTCTGATGATGCCAATGAAGAAGCTCAGAGGCCTAGGCCACTGTTGAGCTCACTTTGGGGAATGCCTTCCTGACGTGTAGGGGTGCTTAAGATGCAAGGGACCTGAAGAACATGTCCTTACCTTCTAGTGATGCTCAAATGTACTAGAAGTGGAGAAGCAGGAAGGATGGAAGGGGAAAAGGAGACAGAGGAAAGTGAGGGAAGAGGAAGGAAGGCAGCAGGGTGTCGGGAAGGTGATGTAGAAGCACAGGGGGGAGTCTGAGTGTTGCCTAAGTTCTGGGACTCTGGTTTCATTCAGCGTGGATCGTTAAGCATCCCATGCAATCTGCTGTTTCCCCACAGGAGGTGCAAACTGCGGGTGCTGGATTTAAGGAATACTGGCCAGGACTTCTGGAACACATGGTCTGGAGCCAGAGCCCCTGATACGTCCTCAAGTTCATCGATGGCACCAGTGGCTGAGGACAGTTCAAGGACAGAGCAGCCCTTGCCTGCCTTGAAGGTGTTCATAGGACTTTCCCTCGATGAAAGGAAACTGGATGAATTCTTATCCTACCTGATGGGATGGGTGGAGAAAAGAGAAGGTTCCATACACCTGTGCTGTAAGATGCTGAGCATTCTTTCAGAGCCCATTATGAATGTTATGGATGTCCTGAGAAAGGTGCAGCTGGGCTGTATCCAGGAGTTACACGTGGACTGCAACTGGACTCTGCCCACCCTGGCCTCATTTGCTCCTCTCCTCGGTCAGATGACTAATATGCGGATATTCTTTCTCTCCCGTGTCCACTGTATATACCTACGAGGCAGGAGCAGCAGTACGTTGTCCAATTTACCTCTCAGTTCCTCAGGCTGCACCACCTCCGGGATCTCTATATGGAATCTCCCTCCTTCCTTGAAGGTCGCCTGGACCAGATGCTCAGGTGAGGATGCCACCCTTGGCAGTGTGACAATGAACACAACACTAGACCCTCCGATGCATTGCCTCCTTCGCTGCTCCATCCTGAGGTGGGGTATCACATAACTACCCAAATCAAGAAGGTAGAGGTTCTAGAAATGGTCACCATGCTAGGAAGCTATAGACTGGGGTATTCAGATCTAGTGATGGAGGTTTCGTGGTTTTTTTTTCCTTAAGAAGAGATATCTATGTTCCGATTACTTAGTAAAAGATGTAAGTGAAGAGGGCGTTGAGGAGTGGAAACCACTTCAAACCTGAGCATTTCTAAAGAGAAGCTCTGTGCTCACAGCGTTTTTGACCACAATGAGCCTGTCTTAAATTCCCTGTCTGTAAAAGGTTATTCTGTGCTCCCGATGAGGAAATTAATATATAAGAAATGGATGGTTCTGGAAATGCCTGTAAGAGAGAGGGAGTCAAAAGGATGATTAAAAAGTGGTAGATGGTTTGGTGACAGACAGAAGTGAGCCCCTGCAGACCGGCAAGCCCTGCTGGTGTTCGGGGTCTGGCCCAGACAGAGACCTTCATGCACGCCACCCAGGAGCCTCGCTGGCCAGAGGTCTGGGTACCTAGGGGCCAAGCATGGACTGAAGGAACCTGAGTTGAAAGCATGTTTGGTCTTGACTGACAAAGTAAAAATTCAGTGATACCCGCACTTGACTGAGACTGTATCAGGCTCTCCTTTGAGCATATTCTAGGACATTCCATTGTCTACTTCCATCTTCATAAGGAAGTGGAGTATGTTGCACTCTGCCTGACCGATGAGGAAAGAAAGCTTCCAAGGTTCTGAACTTGCTCCAGTCACACAACAATGAAAGTGGAAGGCATTCTGGGTATTGATCAGGACCAGACGGTCAGAACAGACTTGGCCTTGAGCAAGCCATCTATTTGTCTCTCACCTGCCACCCCAGCTTCCCAGACCTAATTCTTCCATTTCTCCCCAGGTGCCTGGAGAATCCCCTGGACAACCTTTCAATAACCAGCTGTCAGCTAACAGAGTCAGACTTGGCCCACTTGTCCCAGTGCCCAAGCATCAGGCAGCTAAAGGGCTTGGATCTGCATGGTGTCACACTGACCAGCTTTAGTCCTGAGCTCCTCCAAGTTCTGCTGGAGAAAGTTGCGGCCACCCTGCGGGAACTGGACTTAGATCAGTGTAGAATCATGGACTCACATCTGGAGGCCATCCTGCCCGCCCTGAGCCGCTGCTCCCAGCTCAGGTCCTTGAGCCTGTGTGGGAACTTCTTCTCCATGGCCACCATGGAGAAGCTGCTGCGACACACCGCCGGGCTGCCCAGTTTGAGTCAAGAGCTGTACCCTGCCCCTCGGGAGAGTTACAGCCCTCAGGGAACTTTCCACCCAACGAGACTTGCCTCGCTTGGGGCTGCCCTGTTTGAGATTCTGAGAGGCTTAGGACGTCCCAGGACCATCCAGCTCAGCTCCAGCTCATGTCCACACTGTAGCAACAGAATATTCTATCATACAGAGTCCATCGTATACCCCTGACTAGTTGGTTGCCTCTCTCAAAAGCTTTCTTCTGGGCACTTGGAAACTGAAATCTAGGGCAAAATACATAATGAAGTTCCCTTGGCTTCAGTGTGAATGGGAAAAGCTAAGGTGATCCAGCGGGGGTGCAGGACTGCAGGGGAAATGTTGACTTGGGGAGGTGATGGGACATACGTTTACAGGGTCAGAAGTATAACCTCAATTTCTGGAGGTGGATACGGGATACAGGCTTGAAACGTACATGTTGGAGCGATCGATCCCTGTGTGTACGGCTGTAAAGAAATGATCAGAAATAGAGGCCTTCCGTGTAAGCCGACTACTGCCCTCCTTGGTGTATTGCTCTGTTTTCTCAGTTTACGCCTCAGGAATCTCCAGCTACTGATGAAAGAATAAAGGCACCGAGTTGTGCTTGATTTGAAACCCTACCACTCCCTCCAGTTCTGTCTTCTGTCTGGGGCATCTCTTACCTCCTCACTTATTTCTGTGGTTGTTCAGGGGTTAACACACACAAAGGGGGACACACTCAGTGGCCAATGAGCCATTGGAACGAAGAGCTCTTGGCAGGGCCCTCACTGCTGACTCAGGCCACGACCCTGGACCTGAGAGTTCCTCATGGTTCCCCAGGTGGGGCTACAATTCTCAGATGCTGGCCTTTGTGTGTGCTGGGAAAGGGCTTCACTGCCCAAGGTGCATGGTTCTGGAAGGGGGTCTTCCACACTGCAGATAAACTGGAGATTCTGGTCCTCACCAACCCATGCCTGTCATGAGCGGGCAGTGGTCCTTCTTGAGTTAATCTAGTCATGGTCAGTAAAGACATCGAAATTCCTTTTAGCCAAATACTAAAACCACACAGGCATGTAACATGGTTTGAGTATTTCTATACCTCATTAAAAAATTATATCCTTTTGGGGGCTGGGTCATATCAATGAGAGATTGACTTTATTTATCTCCAGTAACCCCCTATCAGGGAAGAGCAGTGTAACATGTTTTGACATCAGCATATCAGGACGTGTGACAAAACACCTGTGGGTGAAGGTGACCCTCTTACCTAATGTAAGCCACTGTGTCAGTCAGAGTTCTCCTGAGTAACCAATAGGGTACAGCTGATCTTTGAACAATGTGCCTGTTCGGGGTGCTACCCTCTGCTTACTTGAAAATCCCCAAGTAACTTATAGACTGCCCGCCATCTCCTCATTCCTACATCCTTGGATTCCACCAACTAGATCCTGTAGAACATCACTTACTATTGAAAAATACCTGTGTGTAAGTGGACCTAGCATTTCAAAACCAGTGCTTTCCAGGGTCACCTGGATATATAGATATATACTAGAAGAGATGTATTATGGGATTGCACAGTTACAGAGGCTGAGAATCCCAGTCTGCTGCCCGTGAGCCAGAGAACCAGCAAAGCCGGCGGTGTAACTCAGACCGAGGCTGAAGGCTGAAACCACAGGATCTGACAGTCTATTTCCTGGGGTACTCACAGTGTAACTCCAAGTCTGAGGTCAAAGCCCTGAGAAGCAGCGGATCACTGGTGTGTATTCTGGAGTCTGAAGGCTCAAATCGGAAGTTTTAATGTTCACGGGCAAGAAGAGAGAGAAGAGAATTTGTCTCTATTCCATCCTGACCCCAAGAACTCTCCAGGTCCAGCTCCATTTCCACAACCCAGTGAGCAGGTGCCTATTAGAGGGGACTCTTAATTAGAATTTCCTCTCTCAGGAACGCAGTGCTCTTCTCCTAAGCTTTTGTTGTGGACAAAGTATGTAGCCTGCCATTTCAGTGAACAAAGGATGATGCAGCCAAAAAAGCCATCAGCCACTGCAGCCCCCAGGTCAGCGGGCACAGAGGGAGATTCAGAATGGAGGAACAGGACATGGGCCATCGGTTGTGAAGAAAGTGTCAAAGGAAGGCACCCAGTAGGCTCCTGCTTTGCATCTTCCCACACATAGAAAAGCACACGAATCATCAGCTGGAGCTGTCTCATTTTTGTGATCAGCAGTCATCTTTTGATGTCTGAATACATGTTTTATTTTTTTTTCCCAGCAATTGCTCCTACATATGCTGGCTCCTCCCTTACCTCTTTGGAACATTTCCTCAGGGCTATCCTTCTGGCCACCTTCCCCTGCTATAGTGCTAAGTAGGGCCACTGAATAAAACATAATTCTCAACTTCTAGGCTGTGCATTTTTTGTCAGTCAACAAGCTCTTTCAAGACCCGTTCCAATCCAAAATGTCCTGTCCTCACTCACGTGGCTTCCTCCAGGCCTCACGACTTGTTAAGCTGTCCAGATGATCTTGTATCTACAGCCATCAAGGGTGCTGTGGGCTCAGAAGTGGCCGTTACGGAGGGTCCCAGAATAGTGGTGGGAGGGAGTGCATGGCCTTGAACCAGACGGAAGCCAGGGAGAGGAGGCTGGGGCAGTGGGTGGGGCAAGACCATCCAGGCAAGGTCTTGCGAGGGGACCATGGGAAGTTTGTGAGTAGGATTGTGACAAAACCTGATGCATGTTTTCCATTCCCCCTACTTCTGTTGGACCCTGAGCTGGGGCAATTAACAAGGAAGGAGGGACACTCCTGGCAAGAGATCCTGGCTTGCACTTGAGTGGCACTGGAGACCATTTTGAGGATGTTCTGGAGACCGAATCAGCGGCACTGTGCTCTCAGAGTGTAGGAGAGACTTGAGGGTAAGACAGAAGTTGAGGGAACTTCTAGAGCTTGGTCATGACTTCCTGAGACTGGACGGAGTGGGAAAGGAGCAGGTATGAGAAAAAAAAGTAAGGAGTCTGGTTGGCGGGGAGCGCAAGATGCCGAGAGGCAGGCTGGCCAGACAGAGTGGGGATGGAGGGGGTGTGGGAGCTTGGCAGGGGGCCGGTGGCAGCGGGGACCCAGCCTCGAGGCTCAGCCCCGCATCCAAGCAGAGCCCACCCTCCGAACCCACCCAGGCCCGCGAGCGCTGGTCACTCAGGCCCCCGCCGCCAGCACAGTGGGTTCTTGGAATCATGAATCCTGTTTAGAGCCCGGGTTCTTCTGGGGTTCCCTACGCAAATGCAAAGGAATTGGTTAACCAGCTGGTTTCCCCATGGGCTGCGCAGCAGCAGCTCCTGTCTACTCCCCCAGCAGGTACCCTGGAGTGAACCATACCTTCCAAACAGGTTACACATCTGGCACTCCTAATGAAATGTCCTGTTCCCCTATCAGCGGGGAAGCGTCGCCCTACTCCTCTTTCCCCAACCCCTACTAGCCAGCTGTGTACCCAGCGCCAAGTGCCTACCCCCAGCAGAGCCCATACATGGAAGGTACTGTTGCAGCAAAGTGTGTTACAGCTCAGTGTTACAGCTTAGTTGCAACAGCGACCTGGATCCAGGTGAGAGACCAAGCAGCACCCGGAGGGTTGGAGAACTCAGGTTCATTACTCCCGGGGGGCCCAGAGGAGTTAATACTCCAAGCTCTGGACACGGCCTGTAGGTTTACATAGGCTTTTATAGGCTGTCAGTCTAGACTTTGTAACATCATATGCAAATGAGGTGTAACAAAGTTGACTAATTAGGAATGAGCTTTGTAGAAATGGATCAATCAGGAGTGGTAGAAATGGACCAATTAAGAGTGAGCTCCATGCAAATGAGGTGCTACAAATGGACCAATCAGGAGTTAGTTCAGGGAACCAATAGAATCTTAGGGGTAAGTTTCGCTTTCCTAGAAGCAAGTCCTTTCAGAGGCAAAAAGTGAGATAATGCCACTGGGCCAGGGAACCAGATGGGGCTGGCAGGAGAGTAGTGGCCCTGCCTGGGGGTCCTGCTGGTCTTTTTCATGGGGCTTCCCACCTCAGTACCACACTGAGCCCCTGAACACAGCACGCTCTCACACCATCCACCACACCATGGTGGTGTCGCCCAATGGCATGCCAGTGATGATGTACCCTGCTCCCATCCCTCTGCCTAGAGGCAACTGGGTCACTGTGGGCATAGTGGTGGGGACGGCTATGGCCAGGTCAGCAGATACCCTGCTGACTGCCCACTCTCCAATTCCTGTCCCCCTCCACCTTGTCACTGTGCCCACGTATCAGGCCCAAGAGCACCCACCTACAGCTCCATGCCCCTCAGTGGTGATCACCCTGCAAATGTTTGAGGATGGAGCTGTGCAGGCACATCACGGAGGTTCCACAGCTGGTGCTGCCAACCTCACGCCTCCAACCAGGACTTTCTTCTTAATGCTCTTGACACATAGCTAAACACTACTGCGGCCAACCCAGCAGGTCCCAGCGCCCTTAGTCTGCAACTGACTCACTCTGTGGGATGGTCTTGGAGCAAACCCTGTTTTGTGGGCTGCCAGGCACCTGTTTAGCTAACTGTAACTATCAAAAGGGAGTATTAATCTACTCTGAATCCTGTCTAGTTGAATGCTTGTTCAAAACAACAAACATCAAAACGGAGCTCGCTCAACCTCCCTGCAGTGACTGGTGCAGAACCATCATGTGCAAAATCCAAAGGAATAGAAAAGTATTGTACACCTTGTATCACTCATGCGCTGTTGTGACATATGCAAAGTCTTAAAGTTATAGGTGCTAAAGTGATTTCTTCATAGAGCATCTGAAATCTCTTCAACAGTTCTTCAGCCTTTTAGGGTTGACATGGGTTGCCAGGTGGAAACCTGATCTTGGAGTTTCTAGCCATCTGTCCTTGTGCACTGAGCACACTGGGACAGTGGCGGGGACGGGGACAGTGTAGGGGGCCACCGCTGCTTGGGGTGGGGCCAAGTTAATGGGCACCCCTTTCTTGCCATTTAGGCTTGTGGGATCTGTGTGATGTGGACATTCTTAGGGGCGGATACAGTTAAGGACAAGAGGTGATTTATGTATCAGCAAAGCAATTTTCTCTGCTATCTAAGTTTTCATTACAAATCTCTTAGAGACAGAGGTGATGTTTTCTACGTCTTTATTGGAAAAGTCTTATGTAGAGCTTAATTATTTTCTTGGGATGGAAGAAATGTGATAGAGGAACAGCCCCACTTGGAGGAGGTATTGGCCTCTCCTTTATTTAGCTTAGAAAATCATGCCTTCCCCCCACCTCCGAGAAATGTTTGAATCACCCGAAAACATATGTGGGTGCTGGTGTTCTCGCTCCCACAAGGAAGGGGAAAGAGTTCAGGTGTGTGTTGTGAAGAAAGTTGTATATTTAAGAACTATGAAAAGGGAGCAAAACTTTTTTTTTTGAGAAGTAAAGTTTGTTGGGCCATGTTAGATTGAAGATAATCACATCATGAAGTGAGAAAAAAAAACAAGTACAGACTAGCACATGCGATACAATTCTGTTCATACAAAATATGTATGTCCTCATCGAGAGCTGTTTGCGGATGTCTCCCATGGAATGTGTATTTCATGCCTGGAGGCAGGATTGTGGGGATTCGAGGGGAATTCCAGTCCCAGCAACTTACAGCCAGGCCCCCTATCCAGGTTAGATCTCAGGTCCAGACGGGCAAAGGCACGCAGTCTCTCTTCTGATGCCACGAGGGTCTTTCCGGGTCAGAGCAGAGTACCACGTTGGATAGTCTTCTGGTATTAGAAGCTACAAGGTGTTACTCCAACAGCCAAATGTGTCCCCAGACATGTTTTGGGAAAATGTTTTAAAAAGCAAAATTTGTGATCAGAGTTTAAAAACCAGATTTTATATGACATTTTACTCTCCAACATCCCTTGGGGGAAAAAACAGTAGGAAGTTCTAGCAACACTGAACCTGCATCCCCAAAGAGCATCTCTCAGCATAAACTGAGAGGCAGCTTCTTTGAAGCAGGGTCCCGTGCCCCCCAGGTCTCCCTGGTTTCTGCTTGCAGCCTTCACTCATCCACCACCTGGCCCCGGGGGTTGTGGAGTTTGGGTTTCAAAGAGAAAGATGCCCAAGAAATTTGACCTGAGTTTGGGGATTTGCACACGCCAGAGAAGGAAACAATTCTCCTACTCCTGTAGTTGGCAAAGGGTGGGAAGTTCCCAGAAACTCCATGTAGCCAACGCCTCCACCAGTGGCTGTGTGAGTCCTTGTTTAGGAGAAAACTAAGGAAGGAAAGTCAGATTCAGGAATAACCAAGGTTGCTACCGAGTCACCCAAGTCCCCAGGGAACCTCAGAAACAATTTATTTCTCAGATGAAGAACCCATTGGACGTGAAGTGTGGCGCCAGCAATGTCTGGTCGGAAATGGGACTTCAAAATGAGCCCCACATAATTTTACAGGTCAACACAGCTTTGTTTTCAAATTCATGAATGAATGTGCTGAGCATCCATACACCCCAATTCACCAGCATCCCCTAGGTGTTTTCTGAAAACAGAGAGTTGCTTTGGGGAAATGTGGTTTTGAATTATTTTCACATCTGCTCCCAGAGTGATTTCTAATAAGGGAAACCCTAAGCCTGAAGCCATAGCCACCTGCAAATTGGTGTCAAATTGGCCACTAGGGGGCAGGCTTGTCCAGCCAAATGCGCTAAACTCCAGGCAGGAGAGCGGGGACAGTGCTGATGATGGGTGCAAGTAGATGCACCAGTTATAACCAATAAGCCAACCAGTGGGGGATATTGATGTCGGGGGAGTATGTGCACACGGTGGGAGCTGGAGTCAGATGGAAACTGTACTTTCTGCTCCATTTTACTGTCAACCTAAAACTGCTCAAAAACAATAGTCTACTTTAAAAAATAATTGTAATCCTTCCAGCTCAAAAGTTTTATTGATCTATATATTACATTTTTTTAAAAAAGAATTCTTGTTCATTGATCTTTAAAATCAGGTTTCAAGTCTCATTTGTTTTGAGGCTCCAAACCAAGTTAAACATTTTTTAAAAATCCACATGCATTCTTTTAAAAGTGCTAAATTACTTTTATAGTTTTCAAAACATTTTGTATCTTTAATATTTATATAAAGCATTATGCAAATATTTATACTCAACTAGCATTTATGTGACAGCAAATTTAAAAAAAAAATGCTGAACTGCACATTCCTGCTTCCAAAACTGATTTATATCCTCAGGTCTGATCTACCAGCAGGTGGCCTAGGAGACCTGAGACTCAGAATGTCTGTCACTAGAGACGCATCCTGTCTCTCCTGTGCCTCCCCTCCCCCTCCCTCCAGGGGCTGCTTGAGCAGCTTGGGTGAATCCTGACTCACTGGTGGCCACGTGTATAAGCTGAGTTCCATTTCCAGCCCTGGGTTTTGCTCTCCTCCCTGTTGTGAGGAATAGACGCTAAGCTAGAGGGATGAAGCTTCTGGTGGTGTCCTCTAGGAGGAGAAAAGAAAGATAAGACCCCTTTGCTGAGCTCTTACACCCTGCCAGCTCCAGGACCAAGCCCTCAGTGAACAACATCTCACTGGATCCTACTAAAATCCCGTAAACTGAGGGTACAACATTATCTTTATTTTAGGGGGAAACTGAGCTCTTCTCTAAGCTCCTCACAGCCCTACGTGCTTTCCCTCCCCCAGGTAACCACCACCACCTCGGAATCCTCAGCAGGGAGCCTTCATTTGGGTGCACTTTGTTCAGGGCTACTGTGATGGTTAATTTTATGTGTCAGCTTCACTGTAGGAAGGGATGCTGAGGTAGCAGGTCAGGCATTACTTCTGGGAAGATCTTTAAGAGCATCTCTGGAAGAGATTAGCATTGGAATCAGTGGACTGAGCGAGGAGCTCTGCCCGCACCAATGTGGGTGGCATCAGCCTATCCTTTGGGGGCCTGAATGGACGAAGGAGGACCAGTTCTCTCCTCCTCTCTCTTCCTGCCCATGAACGTTGGAGCTTCTGGCTCCCCAGCCCAGAGACTCTGGGATGTGCACAGTGGCCCCCTAGTGCTCAGGGCTTTACTTAGAAGTGGAGCTACACCATCACTTCCACTGCTCTTCAGCCTTAAGCCTGGGGCAGACGTGTACCACCGGCTTTGCTGGTTCTCCAGCTCCAGACAGCAGACCATGCGACTGCTCGGCCGCCGTAACCGTGCGAGCCTCTGCCCATAACATGCACGCATCTGCACATACAGTGAGGCTCCAGGCTCACGGGACCGAACTGCGCAGGCTCACTCAGAGGGGGATATTTTTCAATAGTAAATACAGTTCTTCACCATCTGCAGTTGGTTGAACGTGGAACTGAGGATGGGGAGGGCTGACTACGAGTTACAGGCAATACACGCAAGTGTCTTTATATATACGCCGACGTGCTGGTGTCAAAGCGTGCTGTACGGTCCTCCGTGACGGGGGGACACAGGGGTTACAGTGAGAATGGTGGCAGTCTCTCGTTGATATGACCTTATCCCCCACCCCAAACTATATAATTTTAATGTGATATAGACATATTAAAACCACGTAAATGCCTATACTGTTTAAGTATTTTGCTAAAAGGAATTTGATGTCTTTACTGGCTACAAGTAGATTAACTCCAGAAGGACCCCGACCCACTCGTGACAGGCATGGGTTGGTGAGGCCCTGAGGCTCAGCTTATCTGCAGGGTGGACGACCCCCTTCCAGAACCATGTGCCTTGCACTGTGAAGCCCTTTCCCAGCACACACAAAGGCCAGGATCTGAGAATTATGGACCCACCTGGAGAACCATGAGGGATGCTCAGGCCCAGGGTCATGGCCTGAGTCAGCAGTGAGAGCCCTGCCAAGAGCTCTTCATTCCATTTTCTCACTGGCCCCTGAGTATGTTCCCCTATGTGTGTATTAACCCCAGAACAACCACAGATGTAAGTAGGGAGAATAGAGACTTGGCAGGAACGGCAGGGGTTTGGATCATAGACAACTCAGTGCCCTTTCTTTTATTTTTTATCAATAGCTGGAGATTCCAAGGTGTAAACTGTGAAAACAGAGTAATGGGTCACACAGGACGCCAGTCCATTTATACCGCAGTTCTCTTTATTTCTGACCATTTCTTACAGCCATCCATGCAGAGATAACGCCAACATGTGTGTCTCAAACCCAACTTTCCCTCCAGAAATTTAGATTCCTACTTCTGACTTGCTACATACATGTCCCGGAAAGTCCCACCAACTCCCCAAGTCAACATTTTCCCTTGAAATTCTGGACCCCTGCTGAAATGTGCAACCACATTTCCTTTTCTCATTCAAATCGCGCTGAAATCTGAAACCACGTGTCTCTGTTCCCTTCAAGATGCTCCTATGTCCTAGATTTCAGTTTCCAGGCGCCCAGAAGAAAGCTTTGGATCGATGCACCCACCTAGGCCGGCACGTAGCAGTGGTAGAGAAAGGGCTCCTCACGAGAGCACAGCTTGCTGCCCCAGCGAGGACAGGGGCTGGAGCTGAGCCAGATGGCCCTGGGACCTCCGAAGCCCCTCATGATCTCAATCAGCTCGGCCCGAAGCTGGGCAAGTCTCCCCAGGTGGAGGGCTCCGCCAGGGCCGTAACTCTCCCGAGGGGCAGGGTAGAACTCTTCCCTTAACCTGGGCAGCCCGGCGGTGCATCGCAGCAGCTTCCCCATGACAGCCATGGAGAGGCGGTTCCCACACAGGCTGAAGGCGCTGAGCTGGGAGCAGCGGCTCAGGGCGGGCAGGATGGAATCAAGTTGGGGGTCCATGACCCCACACTGCTCTAAGTTCAGCTCCTGGAGGGTGGCTG